TCAGAACCACCAATATTAAATTATTATATGCACGGTTTTTTTTTTATAATTTCTACTATTAACATATTATAAAATTACACCCATAACTAAAAAGTAGTATATATTTGTAAAAAACTATTCATTACCACTAAGATAAATTTCCATGATTTACCTAAAATTAACAACTTGTGTCTTCCCATCGATAAACATTTGTCATTTTATAATTAGGAGCCCAATTAGAGGATTCAGAAAAGCGTTTTAATATCATTCATCTATACATCTATATTAATATATTTATATTAACATGCATTCATTTATTAACTTTTGTACTCAAACAAATACGGTATGAATTAATGGATTACTACTTTTCACTACTTTCTCCATTTTTTATATTTGATGTTTTAAAGGAACTCTTTTATTTCAAATTATTTAACCTTTTTAATTTGATATGTTAATTTCTTAACAATTAATGTTAAATAACCAATGATATTATAACTTATATTTTTTTGATAGCATAACTTATATTTTATTATTGGTTGAATTGTGGTTAAATAAATAATTAATGAAATATTTCTGTTTTGAAAAAATAAAATAAAATTGTAATATATGTACATAATCCTAAAACGTCAAATCTAAAAAAAAGGAAGAAATATTTTGTTATGTTATACATTTTCATCTTAATGAAAGTGTCACGTTGACATTCTCATTTTTATACAGATTCAAAAAATAACTAAAGTATATTTTTATCTTTATTAATTAAAATTACATCAATAGTATTTTAAATAATTAAATTTTTTAATAGATTTGATGGATTAATTACTAAATTTAAATAAGCACTACTCACTATGTTCCTAAAAGATCTATATTCTAGTTTTTCACACTTTTTAATAAAATATAATAAACTAGGTGATTTTCCCGTGCTCATGCACGGGTATAAATATTTATTAAGTAAATATACTATAATAATTGATTACTATTTACTTTTAATTTTCAATTAATTTATAATTTGCATACATGATTTATATTAATAATATTATTTTACTTTAATTAGACATATTATTTTAGAAATATTATTTCTAGTCAATTTTATTATTTTATAGTCGATTTTACTGTTGTTATTTGGGTATATTAGATTACATTCTTTTATCTGAATTCAACTATAATATTTTTTATTCTAAATATATTAAATTTTGATTAATTCTATTATTTACTTTTATGTTGTTTGCTGTCTCAGATGTCAATATATTTTAGAAAAGTTATTTATAACTTAAGATATATTATGCCTATAATGAAATATAAAATAATTTTGATTTCAAATTACATCAATCGATATAAAGATAATCTTTGAAGTCTCATGCATATATATAAATTTCCCAAAATAAATCAAATTAAAGTAATATTATTTATCATTTAAATGTGCACGTATTTTTATAATATTTATCAAGTTATATGTTTCTTTAAAATATAGAAGAAAATAAAGCAATAATCAGTAGGAAGTTACATACTTAAGTAACTCATATATTTTTGGAGATTCATGAACACATATCAATATTTACAATAACTAAAATATTTTATAAATTCTAAATAAATTTATATCTTAGATTTATTGAATGATAAACTGAAATTATTTTAAATAATCTTAAAAAGGAGAATTCAGATGTGCTTTGGTATTTTTATTATGGTTATATTAAGTTACACAAACATAAATTAAAAAAAAACATTAAGAAACATATAATTTAAATAATGATAGAATATAACATATCTATGTCATTAAAGTATATAGTGGTATGATATTTTAAAATATTTTGTAATTATTTGATTAAAAGATGTTTATTGTTAAAAAAATATTTTAATTTCTCTTAAAAATAAGCAGTAAAAATTGTGGTTGTATTTGAGAAATCATATTATATAAGTAAAATTTAATTTATAGATATTTTTTTTGCTTTAGTTGAAAGATACTATAGTCAACTAAATATATGAAAATAAATAAAATATTCAATAATTTTAATTTAAAACTATTTTAGTTAATAAAAACATATACTTGTTTATGTTACTTAAAATTATGTTTAAAAGTAAATTTTTTTTTTTCAAATATCAAAATTGTGTGAATTTTTTGTTATGAAATCACATTATATAAAAATATATATTTTAATATAAGAAAATACAGATATAAAGAAAGTATTTTATTAATTAAAAAGTACCTTTTATGTTATTTAAAATATTTTTAATGGATGTTACTATTTTGTTAATTTTCCCTTTTAATGAAATCATTTTATATAAACATATATTTTCGTTTTTAGTTTTTCCTTTTAAATTGTATGATGTTTTTTCTATTATAAATTTTAGTTGGAAATTTTTAAAAAGGAAACTAAATACAAAACTAATAATACTATTTTACTATTTTGATAGTATATTACTATTTTGTGAACTTTCCTTTTTAATGAAATCATATTATATAAACATATATTTTCGTTTTTAAATTTAATAATTTTTTTTATCATAAAAGTTATTTGGAATGTTTTTAAAAGGAAACTAAACATAAAATTAATAATATTATTTAAATATATTCATCAAGGGTATCATAGTAATCAACCGGTGTAAGAGTCAACGTGAGCGCGCCACATAGGAAACTGACTTCTCAAATAATATTATAGAGATATATTTTCAAAATAATAAAAATATATATGTTCATGACCATTCAAAAATTTATCAGTTACACTATTTTCTAATATTTTTAAGAAATCAACATATAATTTGATAATTATTATGAAAATACATGTATATTTAAGCGATAAATAAAAATAATTTGATTTAAATCAACTAAAATAAAGAGTAAATAAATATTATGAAAATACATGTATATTTAAGCGATAAATAAAAATAATTTGATTTGACTTAATTCAAATAAAAAGTAATTATACTTCAATTTTAATTTAAAAATATATTTAACTCAATATGCTCACAAAATGAATGACTCGACTAATCTAATATATATCCAAAATTAAACATCTAACTACAATAAGAACATATAATTTTAAATAATAATAATAATAATAATAATAATAATAATAATAATAATAATCTATTTAATTTATACATATAAATTAGAGGTTGACTCAAAGCATATTAAAAAGAAAAATAAAATATTAACCAATTACAATTTAATTATTTTGTAGAATTTATATATATGCATGAGACTTCAAAATATTATCATTATATTCCTTTATGTAATTTTGAATCAAACACTTCAGTTTATTATTTATTTCATTTTAAGCACAATATATATTAAGTTATACATAATTTAACTATAATATATTTACATATCTATACATATCTAAGACAATAACCAACCGAAATGAAAATAAGAAAATTAATCAAAGTTTTATTATATTTAGAATAAAAAATAGTATAGCTGAATTCGAAAAATAGATATTATCCCATATACCAAATTGATAACCAAACCGACTATTGATCCAAAAAATAATTAAATCAACAATGATATATCTAAAGTCATATGTATAATTAGAATAATATAATATTTATTAATATAAATTATACATATAAATTTATTCAAAACTAAAACTAAAACTAAATAGCAATTAATTATTATAAAACTTTACTTTTATGAATATTTATACCCGTGTAATTTGAGAAAGGATTATATAAATATATTTTCGTTTTAAAATTTGTTTTAAATTTTTTGAAATATTTCCTTTTTATTATATATGTTATTTGGAAAAAGGTAAAAAAGAAACTAAATAAAAAAAAAAAATCTTAAAATCTAACAATTCATTAAGGGTATCTATGTAATCAACCATCATGAAAGTTAACATGAGCGTGACACGTAGGAAAGTGACTTCTCAAATAATATTATAGAGATTTGTATAGTTTTTTGTATTTATCTTCTTTCCATAATTTTAAACCAATAAAAAATCAATTAGTGCAATTAAGTTTTTTTTTGAAGTTTAAAATTAGTTAATAAAACATGCATTGAAAATATAAAAATTAGATCTTTTAGAAACAATTATTTTTCTAGAATATGTATTTAAAGAACGGAATGAGTATTTAGTAACATTTTAATTGAAATTTTTGTATAACAAAAAAAAATTATTAAAAGACTACTATTTATAAAACAGATAGAACATTAAATATAGGTCTTCAAGTATAATCTCAACAGCTACGATAAACAGCCATCGCAATAAATACATCTTACCAGATTTTTCCTTACTTTTGTTTTATTTATTTATGTTAATCAGAGTCAGAAGGTCAAGCAAGTCAAGGGAACGTTCGTAATTCTTATGGCCACTATGGATCTCAGGATCTGGCATTATTATTTTAAATTATTTCTCATCAAACTGAACAGAATATTAAAGGGGAAAAACACGGATCTGACCATATATTGAAATTTATACACGTTTTTTCTTCGGCATGGGGGCACTACCGCCGATATTGTTGATTCTTCTTTACTTGCTTTGTTTTTATTTGTTATTTTTCTCATAAGTTATAAGAAATTGTTATCATTGATTATTTGAGTTGGTTTGGATTGAGACTTGATATTTGATAAGTCTTTGGACGGTATGTTTGAGATGTTTATAATTCGATTTCTCAGGTATTTTACCAATTTATGTATTTGCGCCTTTTTCATAGTTGCTTCTTTATTGTACACATAAAACGTAGACCACACGAAACTAGGATAGATCACTCAGTACTAGTACAAAGTTTAACCAGTCACTGTAATTCCATAGACACAGAGAGCTTTATGTCTTTTTTTCCCGAAAGTCTTTAATGTCTTCTGGACTTTATCGAAGACAGCTTTTAAGATATCGTCACCTTCCAAAGACTTTCCTTCCTAACAAATCCAAAACCTCACATACACTCTTTCTAGTTTTGTATATTATATAATGAAGCCATTATTCGTTCACTCAGGCCACCAACTTGCGACCGAAGAAAGCAAGTTTACACTTTAGTTTCTAAGCACCAACTACTTCTTTGGTTTGTGTTTTGTATAATAATAATATTTAATGGACTGTTCTTCTTCTCTGGACATATCTTTGAATCTCAACACCAAGGCTTTTGGTCATAGTTTCACCGCAGAACTTCCGGTGAGTTCGGATTTCACATGAGCTATATCCCTTCGATTTGATTTTGTTTGTTGTATTATTAATCATGGGTTCGTTTGAAATGTTTGACATTTCAGGAGGTCAAGGTTTCGAGTTCTGCTGGTGTGGAAAAGAAATGGTTGGTCGAAGACAAGGTTAGTTATTAGTCCAAATGTCTAATAGTGTTGTTGATTAATGTATTTAAGTGGCTTTGAACATTTAAATGAAATCCAATGCTATTGGTTTTTAAATACATTTCAAATCATTTGTTATGATTTCTAAATACTAACTAAATTACGTGTTATTCGCCGTACTAGTTTGCTCATGAATTGGATTTTGTAATGATTTTTCTTGGATTCGTATGAATTTCTTTGTTAAATTACAAAAACATAAATCACAGTTAAAACCTACAAATTTACAAATACAAAGATTTGGAAATCAGTAAATTGTAGAGATGTGTAATTCATATATAGATTTCCACATCATTCAAAATGCATAAACGAATAATACCCTTAAATTTTAATTGTTTGCAACAAACTAGAAGAGTTCTTGATGATAAATGGTGATTTAAAAAAAAAAATGTAAAAATGGTAATGAAACAGAGTGCAAGTGAGTTAAGAGAAGAGCTAAACAGAGTCTACTCAGAGAACAAGAAGATAAAAGAGATGCTAGCAATAGTCTCTGAGAAGTACTACGCACTACATCATCATTTGGAGAAGCTTCAAGGCCTAAAGAGTCCTGACATAGATCATATCGGACAACCGCCGAAGAAAAGAAAACAAGATCCGGATGAGTTCTTAGGGTTTTCTAAAGGACTCAGTAGTGGAAAAATTGAGAATAGCTCAAGCAACCAAGATCATCATCAGCAGCAGCAGCAATTTGAGCAGAAAAATCAGCTTATTTCATGCAAAAGACCAATCACTGATAGCTTTAACAAATCAAGGGTTTCAACAGTCCACGTGCCTGCTGATTCTTCCGACACAAGCTTGGTAAGTGTTTTTCTTTTTTTTTTGAGAAATGGCTTTTGGTAAGTGTTTTGTGGTTTTGTTGTTTATGTTTGCTATAAACGCATAAGAACTAAGCATTGTTATGTTGTGGAATTAATGTACAGACAGTAAAAGATGGTTACCAATGGAGAAAATACGGACAAAAGGTTACAAGAGATAACCCCTCGCCTAGAGCTTACTTTAGATGCTCGTTTGCGCCATCATGTCCAGTAAAAAAGAAGGTTATCCACGCATTGAATTTGATTTTCATTTGTAATCGTCAAAGTCGGTCATTAGCATAAGCAAATGAATCATTGATCAATAGCTTCCATATTTTTAAAAGATAATGTACATTAACATAGGTTCCCAAAAATTGTTAAAAAAATATATTAAAATTCTTTAAAACTTGTTTATAACCCCAAAATCTCATGACCTATTCTTGTAAGTCGTTCATCTCTGCTTCTTCAGCTGTCTGATGATGATATGTGGCTTGTGTTGTTGTTTTTCAGGTGCAACGTAGTGCAGAGGATCCGTCTTTATTGGTAGCTACATACGAAGGGAACCATAACCACTTAGGTCCAAATGCTTCTGAAGGGGAGGCTACAAGCCAAGTTGGATCAAGCACTGTGACTTTGGATATGGTTCATGGTAGTAACAGATTATCTTTGGAGAAGAATGAGAGGGGAACGATGCAAGAAGTTCTGATTCAACAAATGGCGTCTTCGTTAACGAAAGATTCAAAGTTTACTGCTGCTCTTGCGGCTGCTATATCGGGGAGGTTGATGGAGCAGTCGAGAACATGAAGCTTTCAGTGTATGTTTTTGTTTTGGCTTTCTCTTCCCTGGAAAATAGGGTGCCGTTTTTCTCTTTTGAATTGTAGCTTTTACTTAAAAGGATGAAAACTCAAGTGTACATATCTAAATATTTCAAGTAAATGAAAAAAGTAAATGTCACTTGTTTCAGATGAGAGTTTATTCACTTGAATTATTCAAGGAAATTTTTTGTGAAATAATGGTCTGTTAAGTCTGGGCGTTCGGATTTTGGTCGGGTTTTTCTGATATTCAGAGCCGGCCCTGGGCCAAGCGGATGAAGTCCACCTTCTGGCTACCTTAAAATATGTAAACGATCGGCCACAAAAATTTCAAAAGTTTCTCTAGCCTAATGGTTTTATTCTAGGAAACAAAAACTCTCTTACTCAGCCCAAATTCAGATTGTTTAAATTATATTTTAGGGTGGTCAATTTTTTTATTTTGCTTCTAACCTCGATAATGTTAGGACCCGCTCTACATATGTTTGAGTTGGATTTGGTAAATAATATTTTGGATTCAAGAATTTCAAAATATTATATATCAAAATAGACATAAAATTAAGTATTTGAGGTGTTTTTTTTGTTTCAATTACTAATTTAGACATTGGACATTTTTTAAGGGTTAGCAGAGTTTTTCAAATATCTATTCGGATTTGGACTGTGTTTGGATAATACTAACATTAGCTGAAGAGCAAGGCAGGGGAGGATCTAGCTGAAGAAGATTCAGGAGGTAACCATCAACGAGAGTAGACCGTTGGATGCAAAGCGGAAGACTCATAGTCATAGATTCGGTGAGAAGTTTTTACCTTTATAACTTTAAGAACGTGTTTACTTTCTCTCATAAAGGTAGGTTAAAATGTTTTGCTATCAACATGAAAATTCTATTTGATACGTTACTTCATTTTCTAGAAGGATTTGATTTTTCATGAGAGCTTGTATTTAGTGGGTTGTGTTGTACACGTGTACTTGGTGTTATAATTTATGAAGTTTTTTTTCTAATCTTTGTGCAGAATCACAAACAGAGAAGCACCTTTGGAAATGGGCATTGGCTCTTTCTTGATGTATCTTCTTGTTGCAAGTAAACCAAGCTTGATTAAATTGCAAACCTGAGACTGCAAATGGAGATGTTTCTTCTAAATGTAAAAGAAGAATTACAGAAGAAGGAATTAAATGAAAACCCACCTCTGTATTCTAACGATGCATATGCCAAAGAACCAAGAGCTTAGCGTGTTTCTGATGCTTCTCGAGCTGGACTAGAATGGTGCAACTCCGAATCCACTTCCATAACATGTTCAGAAGATTCTGGTCAATCTTCTAAAGCATGCCCAAAACCTGCAGCAGTTTCTCTAGATGAAAGTGTTGGCAGCGTTCGTCTGATGAGTTATTTAGTTTGTTTGTGAAGTTTGCTTGTTGTTAGACTAGTTGTCATTGTTTATGTTGCGTATATTGGATACATATCACCAAAACCACTATCCAAGGCAATGGTCTCATATTGACCCATTCAAGCTCCTTTGTAAATTCTGCACTTGCCATTTCAGGTTTTCTCACAAAAGAACAAATAAACTATCACAAGACAGTTACAAACCTGCCACTCCTAATCAAGAAGATACATTGTTTGTCGCAGAGAGAAGAAAAAAAGAGAGTTTGAAAAATGCAGTAAACTCATTCGAGTGTTGCTGACCGGTGGAAATACTTTTATTGCAGGTAATGAGAATCAGTAGTTTCCTCAGAAATAAGGCTCTCGTTGAGCTGTTGGAAGCTTCAGCTCAGAATCTGAATCATCGGGATCTGTGGCTGGCGAGAAGTAGCAGTCCACCATGTCTTTGGTCACATCTTCTAGGCGCGGAGGATCCCACTGCAACCAAACCATCAATTATCCATTACCAAAGGAGTTGTAAGTGTATATAGTTTTAAGGCTAATGTGTTCGTTTATAGTTTATGCACCTTTGGAGCAAAATCTTTATCCACCAAACGAGCTCGAATACCCTAACAACAACAACAAAAGTTCAAACATATGAAGAATGATGAAGAACAATGATGCTTTGACTGGTGACTGAGACTATACCTCGCAGAAGTCGCCAGAGACCGTCTTTGAGACTCCACAAAGAGACATACGGTACTCACGTGTGAGACATTGATCAAGAGTCTGAAACCTACCTTCTCGTATCTAAGAAGAGAAAGAAACCGCTCGCAGAGTCAGAAAAATGAAATGCTTTTTGACAAAAAGGAAAGGAAGAAACGAAAAGGACTCACAGATTGTAAAGTAATCTTTAAGCTCAAAGGAGAAGCTTCTTTGACTTGTTTGAGAGTTTTCTTGCACCATTCATTGCCAGAATTAGCAACCTCATTTTCCTGAAGCCACAAACAGATGTTATAGTTTACAACATGAAAAGAAAATTCTCAAGCCAAATAGATCAAGCTGAAATATAGGCAAACATCTCTCACCATAGCCTCAATGATTTCTTCAACCGTGTCAAGCCCAAAATATCTATCAATCATCTCAATCCTGAGAAAAGAATATTATGGTTACATCCTCCTTGGATATACAGTTCAAGGAGATTTTAAAACATGGAGACAAGGTAAAAAGTTTACTTGTGAAGTACACTGCTATTGTCAGGATAGACTAGATCACTATATTGAGCAAGAGAAGCCTCAATGACAGTGGGATCATCAGTCAACAGTTTACCAATCCTCTCTTCGACCATCCCAAGTCTCTGCCACAACAGCCAACATAAGGAATGCGCGTAAGAGGAAAGGACAAAACATGGAGACAAGGTCGGAAAAATGGATCAAACCGAGTGTAAGCAGAAGTGAGTAGCAAGGCCACAGGCTATCATTTCGACACCGTCAAGTTTCTGCCCTGTTAGAGCCAAGTATTCCCCTGAACAAAGAAAACACAAAACCCGCTTCAGATACACCAAAAACATTGTATGTCAATTATATTCAGATCTGGTATCTGAACCATCATAAAGATATGCATAGAGTATGACTCTAGCGAAGAGAAAGCCAAAGGTGAAGTTCACCTAAATAACCAGGAAGCCGTGAAAGGTAATAAGAAGCTCCTGCATCAGGATGAAAACCAATTTGGACCTCTGGATGGGCCAACACCTGCATTAGCACGGTTTGTCAGAATACCTTAACCACTAAAAATTCCAAGGTACATGAGGGGAAACAGTTTCAAAGACAATGAGAAGAGGGCTATTGATATATTATTAAGAGAAAATTTAAAATACAGATAAAAATGGCGTCAAACACCAACTAAGAACTTTTACTTCTTTTTAAGCAACTGTAGGACCTGATGCAACCACTCAATGTAATTTTAAAGTATAAAAATTACAAAGCAAACCACATACGGTTTTATCTGTTGCCACGCGAAACATCCCGGGAATTGAAATGCCACCACCACAACCCATGGTTACACCATCCATTATAGCTATCTGCAGCAAGACAAACAAAACCAAAATCATTTCACTGCTTCATCTTATCTACAAAATCAGCTTCATGTATTATTGAGTAGAAGCAAATAAGTAGTCAAGCTATTTTTAGTAACACATGGTCAAACAAACCACTCACATCTGGTATTAACACATAGCATCAAGAGAAAGTCGAAGAGTCTCACATTTGGTTTCAAATATGTTCCTTGGAGGTATACAAAATTGTACAAGCTCCCGAAAAAGTGTTTACATTCTTCAGTATTCCCTGTACAAAAGAAAGTGACAACACATCAGCAACTCTTCTCACTAACCTCACCAGATTAACACAAAAACCTTACTAAATATTTAACAATGAAAGCTAAAACAAGATATTGCACCTTCATTGATCGAGTGATAAAGAGGCAAGACATCTGCACCAGAACAGTACGTTTTTCCGCTACCCTTCAGGAAAAAAAAAATCGAAACAGTAGCTTAACCGAGCGATATTGTGCTACAACAATGCATCAAAAGGACACATGATCTAATGAGAAGCAGCAAATGAAGCTAGTGAGTACAACCATACCTTCATCAAAACAAACGAAATAGCTGGATTCTCTTCCCAAGACTCGTATAGCCTCTTTAACCGACCAACCTAGAAAAAGACCAAAACATTTCAAACAAATGAGCTCCAACAAACCAAACTTCAACTCCAAGATGACTTAGTATTTTTCTTAGAACAACACCATTGGAGCAGAAAGAGCATTGAGAGAAGAGGGTCTATCAAGAATAGCAGCTCTTGATTTAGCTTTCCCTTCCACCAAAACCTTCAATTACACCATAAAACACATTAACATATACACATCATAAAGAAAGTAAGTAGATTTACATTTAATAGAATGACACATCAACAAAACATCAAATCTATTACATAGCTCTGTTCTAACTACCTTGAGAACCAAAAGATACCTAAACTCATAGTTCAACAATCCGACCAGTCACATTTATGGGAGATCGAAGATTAGGTAAAAGACAAAACCTGGTCTTGGACATCGGAATCTGAAGAGGAGTAGTTTGGCAAGGCAGAGAAGCTTCTTCCGTAAGAAACAGATTGAACCCATTGTAAGGGTTTAGTCACTCTCTTCAAAGCTCTCACTGTTTGCATCTTTTGGCACTCTTTCTGTCTCCGTCGAGAAGACGGCTTTGGTTAGGAAGGAGGAGGGTTTTGTGGCGTTTTGAGGTTTTTGCTCTGATGTTGCGGCGGACGGCGATTCCTAGCCGTCAGATCATTTGACACTGTGATATGAATCTGAACGATGGATTAATTTTATGGCCCTTGATTGAGCCCACACAAGGCCCAACATATTACAGCCCACTAATTTTTTTTTTTAACCACAAAGCCCACTAATCTCTTATTTACGCTTACGGCTTAAATTTTTGTGTGTACCTAGAAGAAAAAATACTTTAATAATAAATTAGATTTGAGCAACAAAAAAATAGATATACAAAATAAGAAATCAAATAAAATTGTAAATTCAAAAACAAAGTTGGAGAACTAAGGATTTCCTAAATGAATAATGACAAAATTATATAAGTAAATTAATCCTATTTTTTAATATTTTTTATATATTTAATCAAAAAGAAATTAAAAATCAAGTTTAAAATACAAATTTAATAAATTTATACCAATTTAACGATATGGCCAGTTTATTTTAAATTTCCTATTTATCTTTTTGTCAACTTCTATTTATCTTGTAATTTTGAGAAGATGTTATAACCAATTTGTCATCTCTGTATAGACTCTTCTGCGATCTAGACTAATTTTTAGAACATTCAGAGAAAGAAACCCAAGACAACTTGATCTGTTTACGTTCAACTACCACAAAACTAAAGCCACGAAAATAATAAGTTATGACCATAACAATACTCCAACTCTTTACAAATTTCTTTTGAGATTAGATCCTACACGATATCAAATGTCTCCGGCGCCTGACGACGAGCTCAAAGACTTCGCAATGGGCTAGGCGAGCTACCAGACAAACCCCAGGGCTCTTGTTACTATCTCTTTGCTCTTGTTACAATTTTGTAGTTGACTACTAAATCATCATATAAGTCACACTGTTATCAATAAAAGCTAGATAATTTTTTTTGTTTATTTTAAAAATTGATAAGTTACTAATTTGTGTTGAACTACTTATGTCATTACATTACACGAAAAAATAAAATTATGGACAAAAACATCACGCAGAAGTAAGAACACATATACAAAGGTAAATAAAAGAAGGTTCTTCGAGCTGCTTTACTTTCTTGGATGCGTATCTTGAGGTTTAGCCGTCCCTGTCGCCGCTTTTGCTACATCAGTGGCACTAGCTTCCGGCTTCTTCTTAACATACATAACAGTGTACATGATAGCACCTGAGATGGCTAATCCAGCTATAGCCATGGTGGTGTAACTGTATGGCAAGTTAGGGCGTTGGTGGAGAACACCACCAGGATTACTCCCTGGAGGCCTCTTCGATGATTCAACCCCAGCGGCTTTCACAAACTCAGAATCCATCTTCGTTGTATCTGCCGTTTTCATCCAGTCATTATCTCCAGCCATTTGTGTCTACAAGTTGTTCCTGCGAATATAGTAACCAAATAAGAAATGGTATCTCTATTAATATTATTTGAGAAGTCAGTTTTCTACGTGTCGCGCTCAATTTAACTCTCGCGATGGTTGATTACATAGATACCATTTTTAAGTTTATTATTAATTTTTTTATTTAGTTTCCTTTTTACTTTTTTCCAAATAATATATATAATAAAAAGGAAATATTTTTAAAATTGTAAAACAAATTTAAAAACAAAAATATATGTATATAATATGACTTTATTAAAAAAGAAAGTTCACAAAATAGCAATACCCCCATTAATATATATTTTAAATAACATAAAATATATATTCAAAATAATAAAAATATATATGTTCATGAATATTCAAAAACTACCAGTTACAATTTAATTCTTTTGTAGAATTTATATATATATATATATATATATATATATATATATATGCATGAGACTTCAAAATATTATCATTATATTCATTTATGTAACTTTGAATCAAATACTTCAGTTTATTATTAATTTCATTTTAAGCACAATATATATTAAGTTATACATAATTTAACTATAATATATTTACATATCTAAGACAATAAGCAATCGAAATGAAAATTAATCAAAGTTTTATTATATTTAGAATAAAAATATTATAGCTGAATTCTAAAAATAGATATTATCCAATATACCAAATTGATAACCATACCGACTATTGATCGAAAAAATAATTAAATCGATAATAATATATCTATAGTCATATGTATAACTGGAATAATATAGTATTTATTAATATAAATTATACATATAAATTTATTCAAAACTAAAACTAACTATCAATCAATTATTATAAAATTTTACTTTTATAAATATTTATTTTCGTGCATGAGCACGTGAAAATTACCTAGTTGTTCTAGTAATTGAGTTTGGAGATAGTTTGAGTCATGAAGACGCGTAGTGTAGTAGAGTTTGATAATGTGTCTCAATAAGTGACACCTAGCTAGTTGATTCTGTTTGTTTTCTGAACTGTAACTAAACATATTAGGCAGGTGTCATTCATGTGACAAAAGTATATCGAATGGTGGATTCAATGTAGCATTTGAAGAGTTGATTAATTTATTTAGTTTTTAACTATATATTATTTTTAAAAAATGTGAAAATCATAAGTATTTAAAGTAAAAATATTTAAATTTTTAACATTTTCAATTAGAAAATTCTACGAAAACGCCTTTTAAAATTACAAGTCTTATCAAATCTAAACTTTGTATTGTATTAAAAGAAAATCTCTCTCTTAAAAAACTCTAACTTCTCTCTTGAATCTCCAGTCAATGAAATGGATTTCCATAACCATCGTCGATCCGGTTATGTTTTCTTTTTTTTTTTTGTTTTTTCGCTTTGCTAGTCTTGAAAGGAAGGAGAGACACCGATTGTGTTTCTGTCCTTTCCAATTGATCAATCTTTTAATTTTGGGAGGTGGAAGTTTCGTCTGTTTCACCGTCGTCGGCTTACAACTCCAAGAGATGGAGACTTTTAAAGTTTTACGTCGCCAGCTTTAGGTTATCAATCCTTCTTATTAGGGTGGGGTTTAACATTACTTTTGTCAGTTTGATATCATTGGATGAGATCTCGTTTAAATCAAATTCTCCAATTTTGAAGCTAAAGTAGTAAAGACAAGCGAGATAGAGGTTTAGGATTTCTTAATCATGTGTTTGACGGCTTGGTGACTCCGGATGAGATCTCGACCATGCTTGATTAGAACCTCTATGTTGGAAGAAGCTCAGCCGTGGAAAGTATTTTGTGAAACTTTGGTGTATTTCCAGCGTAACACCGATCATTTTCTCTGGTGTTTGGGAATAAGAAGGAACTAGTATAATCTTTCGTCCTATGCACGGTTCAATTTCATCGTCTTCAAATCATTTTGATCACAAAATTTTAAAAGCTAACAATAGATAATAATAAATCTCTATAATATTATTTGAGTCACTTTTTTAGATGTCGCGCTCACATTAATTTTCACAGTGGTTGATTACTATAATATCCCTAAGATTCAAATAAATTAAAAATACACTTAAATATTATTATTTCCTTTTAAAAATTTTCCAAATAACAATATAAAATAAAAAGGAAACATTTATAAAGTTTACAAATTAAAAACGAAAATATAAATATATAATATGGTTTCATAAAAAAGGAAAATTCACAAATCTCTATAATATTATTTGAGAAGTCACTTTCTTAGGTGTCGCGCTCATATTAATTCTCACAGTGGTTGATTACTATAATATCCCTAAAGTCCAAATAAATTAAAAATATACTTAAATATTATTATTTCCTTTTAAAAATTTTCCAAATAACAATAGAAAATAAAAAGGAAACATTTATAAAGTTTACAAAAAAAATTAAAAACGAAAACATAAATATATAATATGGTTTCATAAAAAAAGAAAATTCACAAAATAATATTTAATTAAAAAAATATTTTTAAATAACTTAAAATATAATTTTGAGGTAATAAAATACTTCATATCTATTTATTCTTAGATGAAAAACGATATTTGTATATAATGTGATATCATAAATAAAGTTCACACAAATAATCTTGATATTAGAAAAAGGAAAAAAGTAATTTTAAACAATATATATATATATATATATATATATATATATATTTAAAGTAATATTTTTTTGTATATATCTATCTATTTTATTAGATGATTACAAAAAATAATTAAGTAACAGAAACTGATATATATTTAATTGAAATTTTTTTATAATTAGTATTATTGAAATTTATTTTTTATTTTTTCATATATTTATTTGACTATAATATGTTACAATTACAGCAAAAAATATAAATTCTATTTTACTTATATAATATAATTTCTCAAAACCAATCACATTTTTACTGCATATTTTAAGAGATATTAAAAACAAAACTAAAAATAAATTTTAATAATAAACATCTTTTCCTCAGATGACTTTAATTATTTTAAAATATGATAACAATATATAATTTAGAGAGGTAGATATATTATATTTTAATAGTTAAAATTATCTGTTTTTCTAATAACTCTTTTGATTTTTAATTTTCTGTTTTTATGTTTGTGGAACTTAATATAACCATAATCAATATACTTAAGAAAATCGGGATCCTTATTATTAAAATTATTTAAAATAAAGTTCAGTTTGCCATCCAATCATCTTAGGCATAAAACTATTTAGAATTTATAAATATTTTAATTATTGAAAATATTGATATGTGTTCATAAACTTCCAAAAGTTTATTAGTTACTTATGTATGTAGCTTCCTATTGAATATCGCTTTATCTTCTAATAATTTTTTTAACAAATCAATATATATTTTGATAAACATTATGAAAATACATACACATTTAAACAATAAGTAAACTAATTTGATTAGACTTAATTATAATAAAAATTATATTTCAGTTTGAATATATATATATATATATATATATATATATATATATATCAATATCAATATATCTACAACATGAGTGATTCAACTAATATAACTTATATCTAAAATCATAGCTTTAACTACAATAAGAACATATAATTGATTTATTTTATAAGAATATATAATTATATGATAATAGTTATTTATTTAATAAATACAAATTATCAGATGACTTATAACATATTAACAAATGAAAAATAAAACATTTACTCACTGTGACAATTTAATTCTTTTGTAAAATTTATATATATGCATGAGATTATAGAATATTATTATATTAATTTATGTAATTTAGAATCAGACATTTTAGTTTTTAATTTTTTCATTCTAAGAACAAGATCTAAAGTTATACATAATCTTACTAAGATATATTATATTTCTAAGATAACAACCAGCATAAATGCAAATAAGACAATTAATGAAAAATTATATATTTAGAACAAAATATATTATAGTTGAATTCAGAAAATAGATAGAATCCAATATATCTAAATGATAACTAAATTGACCGTAAAAACAATAAAACCGACTAGATATAACATACCTAAAATCATATATATAATTAAATAATATAATATTATTAATAGAAATTATACATACAAACTATAAATTAATTTAAATATAAAGTAAATACCAAATAATTATTTTTATAAATATTTATGTCCGTGTATGAGCACGGGAAAATCACCTAGTTGTTAAATTAATCACATATTTTTAAATACAGGTAGTAGAATGGTACATTAATTTAAAAGAAATTCAAACAAAGCGTCCGAGGGGTACAATTTCTATGAATACATTATGCATGTTCGAAAACCTATAATCGTATAACTAAGATACACATACTACTTTAAAAATACTATTATCTTCGTTATTAGCATAATAAACATAAAACATGAATTTATTGACCAAAACAAAACAAAGGAAACACTGAAACTAGGATAACAAAATCTAACTGAAAACATGTTGCTACCTGAAATCCAAAATAAAGCTTAACTCCAATATAACAATTAAAGAATCAATGAAAATTCATGTATGTCATAACATAAACTAATCAGACTTATTTTCCTAATTCCGTTTCAGTCAAATTATATTTCGTAGAAGGTTGAATTCCATTTCCTTTTATACAAAAAGATTTAGACAAAGTTGAGCTCATCTATTTAGACAGTTTTTCAGATATTATAATTTAATACATAAACTAGATTTTGATCCGCTTGAAAACGCGGAAATTTTTTTATGATTAAAATTTTATATAATTGGGTTTTGTTTTTATTTAAAGTATGTTTTGGTATAAAATCAGCAATCCAAAATTTGTGGTGGTAATCGTTTTGCATTGGTTTTTAGTTTTAGTTTTTAATTTTAGCTTTGGTTTCAGATTTTGGTTTTAGATTTTGGTTTTTAGTTTTTAGTTTTTAATTTTCTATTTTTGATTTTCAATTTTTGGTTTGGGTTTTTAGTTTTTAGATCCGCTGAGTTAGTTTGAACTAATATTACTAACAAACAAATCCCAAATAATCGAACAT